CTCCTGGGCTCAAGTGAGTCTCCTGCCTCAGGCTCCCAAGTAGCTGGGACCACAGGTGCCTGCCTGGCTATTTTTTGGTTGCAGCCGTCATTATTGTTTGGTGGGCCCGGGCTGGATTTGAACCCACCACCTTAGGTGTATGTGGCTGGCGCCTTAGCCACTTGAGCCACAGGCGCCAAACCTATATACATGGTTTTAAAAGATAATTTTTTCTCAAACTATTCTAGATAATATTTTATAATATCTCCATGTATTTTATTTATGGATTATTATACTATAATACATTACTACTGAACTCTTGCTCAGAAATGCCTAATATGTGAAGAAGTGTAAAATATTTTTATAGTTTTAGGATAGCCTTTCTCCATACACCAGGGGTAAGGTGAATAGAAGTTTTAAAACTTAATACAATCTCCTATATGTGTTAGGTATCAAGAGACCAAAATATTAAATACAATTGGAAGTATTCTAATAGGCTTAAGTAAGAAACATAAAATGTCTTTTTCATAATGGTTATTGAATTAAGTACATTAATGAGATTAATTTTCCTAGACAATTAGGCTTTAATTTTAAACATAAACTACAAATAACAGTTTAGGTAAATAAAAACTTTTACATACGTTAGGGTTGTTTCCATTCTTGAGACTTGTTCAAGGTCTTCTTCAGGGTCCTTGAATCCAGTAAAAGAGTAGTAAGACTTATCCCATTTAATGGGCCTGTCAGACATCCTTTTAGCTTCTTTGAGTGGCTGGGAATGCACATTAGTATTCAAGCTTTGGATATGTTCAATAGATAAACTGCAGGAGTTGAGAATATATAATACTGTGCTTAGCAGATCTCTGGTGTGCAAAGTAAATTTGACTGCTCGAAATCCTAGAGAATATAATTCCCCCAAACAATTAATACAGATGATTATTTGTTTTACTTCAACATTTATAAAATCAAAATCTTTTAAAACATTCCATTACTGATTAAAATTCATCCTATTTGCAAATCTTCTGTAAACGGAAATACTTCTCTTCTACAAAACTATACCAAACCATTTTTATCTTTATGAATTCTCTCAATCATCAGCTCTATTATTCTAGTTTGGCACCAGAGAATAAACTCATCCAAGCCCAAGAAAGAATTCAGAATACTTTCAATACTTACTATAAGTCTAGTCTCTTAGACAGAAAAGCTCTCCTATGAGCAGATATACACCAAAGATTATTTCTAGCAGGGGTTTTGGGAGGAAGAGGGATATTGTTGTAGAAAAGTACTTGGCTTGGGAGTGCCCATAGCACAGTGGTTACGGTGCTGACCACTTGCACCAAGGGTGGCCTGGGCCAGCTAAACATCATTGACAACTGTAACAAAAAAATAGCTGGGCATTCTCATTGCTGTTTTAGCTGGCCAGGGACAGGTTGAACCCGCCACCCTCAGGAGAGAGAGAGGGGAGAGAGAGGGAAACAGGGACAGAGAGAAAGAAACAGAGAGACACTGCTCTGTGACAGATTGTGACAGTATCTGGATGAGGACGGGGCCAGCCAATCTAGTCTCAGAGATCACAGAAACCCATCTTGAATTTTCTCTATGATTGAAAGAGACTGTCCTCATACATGTTTGACAGCATCCTTTCTGATTCACCTGTGTGAGTTTCAACTTCCTTGGCTTATGGGTGTTGCTGGGAGGGCTTCATTTGTTTCTGTCTTGCAAATTTTATATTTCTTGATTTTTGCATATCTCAAAACTTTCATAATGACCTATGTACTTGCCCACTCCCAACGAGCTAGAAAGCCGCTATTTTCAGTAGTGATTTAAGATTCTCTAATTGCTTAATAGTTAGTACTTCACAATCTATTTTTGATGTTGGATAAATTATTGCATTAAGAGTAGTAATAATTGTTAAGTCAACAGGAAATCCAAATGGTTTTGTTTTTTTCTTTCCTGGCTATTAGGCATGGTTCCAACTGAATTTATGTAACTTTTCAATCAACACTCCCACCAACTGTACCATTATCATCTCTCTCTTTTTTTTAAATGTTCACAATTTTCTTTTCTTTTTTCTTTTTTGCAGTTTTTGGCCAGGGCTGGGTTTGAGCCCACCACCTCTGGTATTTGGGGCTGGCGCCCTACTCCTTTGAGCCACAGGCACCGCCCCATCATCTCTCTTGTCAAATGTGAAGCTAAAGTTAGAATGAAGGTTAAGAGTGAAACAAGGGCTTAAATCTGACGTCAACTCAGAGACAAGAGTTCTTTTTGAGACAGAGCCTCACTATGTTGCCCTGGGTAGAGGACTGTGGCATCACAGCTCACAGTAACCCCAAACTCTTTTGGGCCCAAGTGATTCTCTTGCCTCAGCCTCCCAAGTAGCTGGGACTACAGGTGCCTGCCACAATGCCTGGCTATTTTTTTGTTGTGGTTGTCAATGATGTTTAGCTGGTCCAGGCTGCATTCAAACCCGCCACCCTTGGTGCATGTGGTTGGCACTGTAACCACTGTGCTATGGGTGCTGCCAAGCCAAGTACTTTATTTATTTACTTTTTTTTTATAGAGACAGAGTCTCACTTTGTTGCCCTCTGTAGAGTGCTGTGGTGTCATATAGCTCATAGCAATTTCCAACTCCTGGGCTTAGGCGATTCTCTTGCCTCAGCCTCCCGGGTAGCTGGGACCACAGACACCTGGCAGTATACCTGGCTATTTTTCTGCTGTAGTTTGGCCGGGGCTGGGTTTAAACCCACCACTCTCGGTATATGGGGCCAGTGCCTTACCCATTGAGCCACAGGCACTGCCCTAAGCCAAGTACTTTTTTAAGACAATATCCTGAACTCCTTTTTCCTTTTTAAAAATTTCTTTTAATTAGTTTTGAAAATTATACAAGTATTATGTAAGTACATACTTATTGTAAAATATAACAATAGCAAAAGTCTCCTGTTAACAGGCATATAACTTCAACCTTTACTAGATATAAACACCATTCACTGGTACATATTCTTCCAGACCTACACTATCTAATATGGTAGGTATTAGCCACATGTGCTATTTAAAATTAAATAAAACTTAAAATTCAGTTGCTTGGTCACACTGGCCACATTTTAAGATTTCAATAGCCATATGAGGCTAGTGCCTACTGTACTAGATGGTGCAAATGTATAATATTTCCTTCATCACAGAAAGTTTTCTCAGCACTGCTTTACACCTTTTCTATCTATGTGTATCTCTGTGTGTGCATTATATATGATTATATATAATCACATATAGTTTGAATTGTTTCTTTTTAAAATATAAATGGTATCATTCTAGATATTATTTTGAACTTGCTTTTGTTATTTAACCTTGGTGACCTTCTATATCTGTATCTATACATCAACTTCATTCTTTTTAGCAGGTACATATAGTAGTCTATATAATGAATACAATGTAATTTATTTAACACTTCCAACAGTGATGGGCATATAAGTTGCTTTTAATTTTTTTACCACTTAAGGCTGAAGTGTATACATATATATACATATATA